CTTGTGCAAATTTAGTCAGCTATTCAGAGTGATCAGGGTCAGGATCCTTTCCTCACCGGGGCTGAATATTGGACAGCCATTACCTGCCTTGGCTCTTTCTGTGAGCTGCTTTCTGCTGAAATGAGGAGATGGGAGTTTGACTGAGGTGAAAGTGAGTGGCACAATTGCTGGTGCTGGTGCTGAGGAAACGTATGCAATCTACCAAACAAGTGAGTAGGCAGTACAGGAACCATACAGAGTTAGGAGGGTGGGGCCTGAGGTGGGAGAGAGAGTGAGTGAGGGAGTTGGTAAGAGGTGAGTGCAGTAGTAGCATGGTGTGATCACGTGGCCTCCTCTGCCAGTTCAGTAGGAAGAGGATATCTCTTTGCATTTCCCGGTCCACCAGGACAACTGCGTGTCTGTTCACAAAGCAGGAAACCAGTTTCCACTATCTGTCATGTCTGGAGCAAATGTCACAAACTGTTTAAGGCAGTTCCAGCCTGACAGTGCTTGTGCAGCAGCCCTTTAAAGATAGCAAGGATACCAGGGATGTTGGTCTATTTTGGGATTTCCAAGCAGTGGCAAGTGGTATAATTGAACTAGCATCAGACGTGAGGGGTGGGATGGGGACTGTAGTAGAGGGGTTAGGTAGTTATTGAATTGAGCTTGGGACAATGATATCGTAAAACTTGCTAGGCCTCACGGAGAAAACTCGTCGATGAAACTCAATGAAATTGACACCTAGGCAAAAACAACACAAGATTCAGCTCTAGAGATAGTAGGAACTGCAGATGCTGGAGAATCCGAGACAACAAGGTGCAGGGCTGGATGAACACAGCAGGCCAAGCAGCATCATAGGAGCAGAGAGGCTGACGTTTCGGGCCTAGACCCTTCATCAGATTCAGCTCTCTGTGTTTGAAATGTTTGTCTCTCCCGTGCTTGTATAAACAGGGAAACACCAAGACAAATTTTGACCTTAGTGTTCTTCCAATTCCCCCAGCCCCATCTCCCTCTTTAAAGGTCTCTCCCATTCCAACTCTCTTTCCCCTTTTAAAGAACTCCACAAAGAATCCTTCACTATCTATTCCCAAAACTCATCTGAACATTTTCCACTCTCCCGTCTTGTCCCTTTTTTCCATTCTTTAAACTGCTTTTAGCTATCTTTCTGTACTAACGGTGTATGAATTGTTTACCAATTGTTTACATTTAGTTATTCTAATTCTAGGGTGTGCTATAGTGTCAGGTGACAATATCTCCAATTGTACTGAAGAATTTTCATGCATGTTTGAAATTTGTACAACAGCCGAAATTGAAGATCGCCGTTTTACGTCTGAGTATTTTCTTTAAATAAGTTGCAGTTTAAATTAGCGGTCACTTCATGTAGAAATATACTTGCTGACAATTATCGATAGAACAATACTTATTGTATCGGCATATTCTTCGCATTTTCAAAGCATCGATCTCGCCCCCTTCTGTTTGCCCACTATATTTATTGGCTAAATATGAAAAAAGCCCTTGCCTAGGAAGGAAAAATGTGATCTACACCGAAAACAAAAATCCGTAATTATTTCAGGACGTACTTGAACAAAGAGTGGACTCTGATAAACAAGAGGATACATGATATAGTCCTCTACACATGATGAAGTAAAATGGTCGCATTGTGTATTGATTGGGAGATTTGACGGTTCCTAATTTATCCTGTGAATATCTTACTCAGATAACCACACGTGCTCCTCAAAGTATCAGAATACGGACAATCGGATCAATCAGGCCGAGACTAAGAGGGCTATCTTTTGTCTTTCTTTATGTTTAATCATTAAAGGGACTTTGGAAAGCCGTGGGTTAAATCTATTTATGACGTTTGCCACACACTGTCAATTTTGTAAAAGCTTTGGTACTTTTTTACACTCCGGGGTAATGGCTGATTTTTGACACTCAAGTCACATCAAAGGAGTGATTATGCAAAACCTTTTGGGGAATTATTTGGCTCATAATAAACCTCCTGCCAAGCTGCGAAACAATGCATCAGCCTATCTAGCCCAAGGCTGGATACTTTACGTTTTATTTCCGTAACCTAATTTTGCTAATTCTTCTTTTCACACTTTTTACCTTATTACTCAGTTTTTACCCACTTTCTTTCACGCTCCGTGACTGAAATCGTTTTCAAGAAAATGGGCTGGGAGACCTTTGGACCTACTCTGAAATAATAAGACTGCAAACTGCTCCTACTCCAAAATACACACTTTATTGTTTTTGTTCTGTTGGCACGTATAACGGTCGCGTGTATTTGCTTGGGTGCCACTATTTCTGTACGTATGCATGAAAAACTTCAAGTCCGCTGGCGATAGATGTGGATTTTGCAGGAAGAAGTTCATTTTAGGATGAATTACCAGCTTGTAAAAGTTATATATTTCTCCAAGGTTGTTGATAAACATTCCTTACTGTCGTAGAATCTGTCCAGGGACTGTTCATGTCAATTCTTTATCGGAAATAAGGTGGATGCAATTAAATAGGAATATGTTGGCATTCTCAATGTGATGATTAATCGATTGTTTGTAACAAGTAAAAGTGAAGATGTTAAAGATAATGAATATGCACATTAGGTTATTACATGTAGGGGCTGGCAGTGTTTATTTACATTGGCATTCATTTAGCATCCTAGTATAATTACCTCATTACGGAGAAGCGTCGTTATTAGATCTACTAAATCTAAGGTGAAGACTATGCATTCAGTAAAGATTTTTGAGTGAGTGATGTTGCCCGACTACTGAGTAATTGTCGCCACTTTTTGTTCTTGGCCTGGTACCTGGACAAACAGAGAATTAGATAAGAGCTTTTATTGTTAGAAAGGAGTTAACTTAAACCTGGTAAAGTAAGTCTGAAATCTTAAAATCTTTGGCGCTTATTTTAATAATTTCGTAACTTTTACTTCAGCCTCATGAAGTCCCTGCGCTACAGGATTAAACATTTCGCCTCTAACGTTTATTGCAATCAAACGGTGCTTGGATATTAGAAAACCACATGATGGTTTACTGTTAAATCTTGATTCTATCGTTCTAGTTAATCCGTCATTCGATTTAAGGACAATTTTATAACTTGACATTAAAATCAAGCTTGTAATGTGGTAATGCCATCTGTTCGATATTCTCGTTATGTCTTTTATATTTCAGCTGAATTTCACTGTCGTCTCCCTCCTTAATTCGAATTCAATAATGGCCCATTCTAATTCTCCGAACAGTTTAAACGGCTTTCCGCAGATGCAGATGCGACTTGCTTTGAACTCCCGAGGTTTTGGCGAACATAATACGCTGAACTCTCGTGATCTGTTGCTGTCGCGTTCATCCACTCTGCAGAGGAAGATTGATACCAGATAATAATGAGACGTTTCCCTCTTGGGAATCTGCAGACACGTGCAAACGCAGGGCGATCATCCATAATCTAGTGACCAGCCCTATAGATCAGAGCCAAAGAGAGAAGGGTTTACATCCAAACAGAACGTGACAATTAACAAGGAAGAGCTGGAGTTGCATATGATCCATATTCAACTGCACGCTGCAAATTGCAACTCATGCGTGCTTCGAAGAAAAATACTGGCATACAAATGGCTTCTATATTGTCTTTTTTTTCTTTCAAAGACAGACCGTGCCAACAATCCCCTTTTCTTTAAAACTTGTATTGTTTTTCTACTGGTGCGCTTTGCTCTGGTTTATGCGTGGAGACTGCTAGTCTCCTTGTGTCGAATCAAAGTTTTTAAAGTGTGAATATGTGCGATTCGATTTTACAGACGCCGTACATATTCAAAAAGATTTTCACCAAGTAATTTGCAAAAAGTTTGTATCGTGCTCTCGAAGTGAAATTTGAATTGTGCGAGAGACAGTCTGCGCGCTGTTCATGCATTAAACGAACTTTTTTCACAGTTGCTCTCGATTTCTTTGAAGATGAATCCACATGAATTTCTTTCACGTGATTTTTAAAGCATTTAGGAACGGTGGCTTTAATTTTAGTCCAACATATCCCCCCACTTTGGAGTGATCTGTTAACAAAAGAACAGATGACAAGAGGCGGTAGTTTTATGTTGTATTCTGTTTTGTTGTCATTGTCACGCTGCCGTTTTCCACGTCTCATATTTTAATGAATAGGTTCGCTAAATGAAATGCATGTTCTGACGTTTTATAACCTAATAGCAACTAGTTTGTGTTACCTGAATGTACAGCTGCTCTTTTTCACACTGATCAATGAGCCACGCACTTGCCAGCTTATTTATATGAAAGTTAAACTTTTTTTTATTATTGAAAAGACGAATTGAAAACGCTTTCCATTTGATTTGCACGCGAATACATAGCAACAATAAACTTCTGAAATATACAAAATATACATTTTGTGCATGAAATCTTCCTTTTATAATAAATAAAAGTGAACACATGTGTAGATGATCGCGTTAATGCTCCGTGTCAGTTCGTTTTATTCGGCTGATTTTTTTTCGGTCGTGGAAAAAAAAGGCAATTCTTCATCCCCGGAGGTCGAGATAAATAATGCATGAGGCCTTCCTCCTTGTGTTTTCCTTCTCTCTCACTCTCTCTGTCTTTGATAAAGCACTCAACCTAAATTTACACGCTCGTTTTCATTCATTTAAAAAGTCTACAAATTATGCAATGACTTCTAACCTCGTTCCGTACCACAACATCTTTTTCCGTAAATCATATTAGACAGCTGGTAAAATCGGCCTTATTCTTGAAGTGATAAAAGGGGACCAAAGGGGGAGGGAGGGAGAAGAAATCAGAGAACAAAAGGCATTGTGGAGAACCTGGGAAAATGGACAAAGTGCACTGAGCAAAGTTTGGTTTGACAGTTCAAATTCCCACAGCCTTCAACAGAGCTTCTCTCTGGGAAGACAGACAGATGCCAAGTTTACAACATTGAACATTAACAGAATCCGTCCGAAAAATACATTTGCTTGAAAAATACATTACAAATCTCAATCCTATATATCTAGTAAGAAATGTAAACAGAATAGGTCCAACTTTTTTTCCCCCAGATAGTAGGTACACTCGTTTCAGTATAAAGAGAATTTATAATCGTATACAAAAGAGACGCAATATTGAGCTGTAGTGAGGGTTCAAATAAATTCATGGAAAGGGGAAGAGTTTTGCAAAAAGTCAGACTGCTGTTTAGGAGGTGCATAGATGCTCTCGGGCTGCCCGAAGTACGCGTCTTCCGATGGTGCAGGACTGCCCGGGGATAAAGTGCAGGTGTAGGAGGAAGAGGAAGGCGAGCTGAAGCTGGTCCAGGAGCTGCCTGAAGCGCCGGGGCTGGGGCTGCTCAGCCCAGAGTCTAGATACTGCTGCTCAGCTCCCTCGTAGCAGGAGTCTCCGGGGCCACCGAGAGGATCGGCCAGTCGCAGAGCCTCGGTCAGTGCCCAGATGTAATTGTGAGCAAAGCGGAGAGTTTCGATTTTGGTCAGTTTGGCATCCTCCGGGAAGGCGGGCAGCACCTCCCGCAGGGCGTCCAGGGCGCCGTTCAGGTTGTGCATCCTGTTCCTCTCCCGGTTGTTGGCCTTGATGCGCCGGCTTTTCTTGATCTTCTGCACCACCTTCGGGCTCCTGGGTTTGCCCCGGCCCCTGGGACGCCGCTTGTACTCACTTCTGGCGACCGACGGCTCCAGGAGGCTCTCCTCATCCATCTCCCCCTCCGAAGGGATGGACAGGTCGCCCGGGCTGAGTATGGAGGCTGCAGCAGGGCACTGGAAGTACTTGCCGCTGCCCTGCTCTTTGTAAGGACACCGATCGGACTGGGGAGCCATCCTGTGCAAAAATAAAACAACAGAGAAAAACACAAGAGAATTAGAGAGGAGGTTGGTGGGTGCAAGTCTACTCCGTAAGTAATAAGGCGGACAAATTGCAAATAATGCCAGCGGAACTTACTTTCAAAATAATGGATCAAAAGTGCTGATTCTCTGGCTCAAATGCTTTGCCAAGTAATTGTTTCCCTTTTCTCAAACGCTCCGGCGGAAACACTTATCCTATCTGTCTCTCTCTCTTTATTGGACTTGCCTAAGGGCGTTTTCTTTTATAATATAGAGATGAAGTTGCAAGAAGTATGATGTTGTGCACCAGCTGACTGGCACGCGACCTGGTGCGGCTATCAGCTCTCCTCGAGCGAGCTCGTGGTTAAGCGGCGGTGTGTTTGGCACACGCCTGTCTCCCCGCGCTTTATATAGGCTCGGGAGACAATCAGCGCGGCCTGGGGAGGGGGAGGGGCGGCAGCGGGCCCGCTAATGTCGTGGTAAGGGGGGGGAGGTGTTGCCACTCGCCGCGCGAGCCCCCATTCTCATCCTCCGGAGGATTCGCTCCCTCCCCTTTTCTGAGTCCCCTCCATTGTCTCTGGGCTCGAGCTTCGAACCCGGCGGCGGCCGGAACGTGCCGCTCATTAATGCGCGAGGTCCCCACAGCCAATCAGAGCGAGCCGGCCGTCGACAGCCACGCGCACGGGAGCCGGCCTCCATTCAGCAGAGATAGAGAGAGAAGAGTCATTAGAGCGATGGGGAGGGGAGGGGAGCAGAGCGACGAGTGCAGTGTGTGCAGGCAGAGAGGGACCGTGAAGTTTCAGCAAAGGCTGTGTTGTACACATGGAGTGAGAATGAACTTAAAACCAGCAGCCGAGCGCCAGCCAGGGAGAGTTGGGAACAAATGCAGCCACGCAGAACTGGATTCACTGAGATAGAACTGGGGCAGGCTTTAGAAGAAGCCGATGAGCAGAGAAATGCAAGAAGTGGGAGAGAGAATATAGAGAAAGCCATTAACAAAAAGTGAGAAGAGTCGTGGAGGGAAAGAAGTTGGTTGAGAGGCAAATTCTGCACGGAGAAGGTGATATTCAGAAAAAAAGAATATCGTTACAGTAGAGAAAACAAATGCTCATCCAGAGAAATGATAGAAAAATAGAGGTGCTACAGATAGAGACACATTTGGAATTCTAGACGGAGATTAAATGAAGAGCAGGGAAAACTTAAACATGCGCTAAAATGAATTTAGTTCGAAAAAAGAATGATATGAACATGGCGTGAGATAGTTAAGAACTAATGAAAACACGGATATAAAGAGATGCAAAAGTAATATCAAGATAAAGTCTCAAAGAGCTGTAATTAGAATAGAAAATATAAAGAAATAATATAACAGCAGCGGCAGCGAAATTGTTAGACAATGCGAAGATTGATAAGAGAAAGTGATTTTAAAACGTCGAAGAATGCATGGATGCTAACAGAGAATAGAAATATTAATAGAAATAGCACATGATAAAATATAGACTGATACAGAGGGAGATATACATATATATTCAACGTAGATGTAAGGCCACGGTGTAACAGGGCTAATATAGATACAGAGGATAGAAAGACTGAAAGCGAAAAAAAAATACAAAATACCTCACAACCTCTGGACGTCCAACTATGGACATTAAAATTAGCTGAAGTATTATCGAAGCGGAGTCGCTGTTACAATTTAGGAAACACAGCAGCCAATTTGTGCTCAGCAAATCCATTGAAATAACGATCACCAGGCCATCTGTTTTTAGTTGACGGTTGATAATATTGGGATAATATTGGCCTGCTTTTCTTCGAATGTTATGGTTGGAATTTTTGTGTCCAGCTGATAGGGCAGAGGGTGTTTTCGTTTATGATCTCATCCAAAATATAGTACTGCCAGCAGTGCAGTACTCTCACAATGGATTGGAATATCAGTCTAGATAATGTGCTCAAGTCTTTGAAAGGAACTTGAACTTCCGGACTCATTGTCCAATGTTACTAATAAGCACGTGGATAAATAATGAAAAAGTTAGCGGAGAGATATAACTGGATTGAATCTTTGAAAGTAAGAAAACGTAATTGAAGGAAACAGGGGACGAAATAGAGGTAAAGGTAACACATGAGCTAGCAATGTGAAGGTGAAGAAGGATCTAGACAGGGAAATCTAAAAAGCGATAAATGTAAGATAAATAGAAATAGTAAAAAGGACTGAAAAAGACGGCGACAAATAGAAACAGACCAGAGCCAGAGATGCAAACATACACAGTTTGGTGTTGTAAAGGTGGAGACAAACGAAAAGAAGTAAATGGAGGAAGAATCGAGAAATTAATGTAAAGTTGCTTTATTTATAGGGATCTAACGCTGGTTATGTATTTGAGTTCTCGGTGTTCAAATAGGCCGGAGAGTATTATTCCTCTTTTACGTCGAAGGCTTCGCATTCTGAAAGCAGTTGTCGGCTTAATGGACCAACTCAGAACAGGAACTTTGACATGATGCAGCTGGCCCGTGTTTTACTGTGAATGCTGAAGAAGGTCGTGATCTGAATAGACGACAACTAAGCAGCGATTTAATAATTGGATTGGGAGTCAGTTTGCTAGTGTGCTGCCCTTTCTAGGGGGCGGGACATCTCCGGTAAAAATCATTTAGAGACACAGGAACGCTTCCTGGTTTGCGTCAAACTCAAATTGGCCAGAGTTAAGCTACAGCCTTCATGATGCAAAGCATGAAACCACCCACTTCCAATGTAGTAATGAAAACATGTTATTTTCAATTGATTCCAGAGTTTAAAAAAAAAGTATACTCACGCGTTAACGCAATGTTGGCACAAGAAGAGGTGAAGAAAAAGTATAGGGATACAATAGTACAGATCGAGAAAAATGGCTCATCCGGAGAAATTGATAATAAAAAGTCCAGAGTTTGGCAGCTAAGAAGTAAGTTTGAGATACATAGTTTAAGCGAGAGATACAAAAAAAATCTTCAAGAATATGTGAAACAGTCGAAAGGTACTTTCGTGCTAAAGATAATTGGAGAGATCCTAAGGACAAATAATGCGAGTGAGTAAATGATCGAAAGAAAAATAACTTTCGATGAAGCAGAGCTGCAAGCAGCCAGTGAGTATGATTTTGAGCGAGTGAGTGAAAAAAAGAGTTCTGGAGTTCTGGTCTGAAGACAGATACTGTACACTGGAAGAGCAGCTGGGTTATTACAGTGTGAGCCTACTGATATGGTATGGGATAGTAAAAGCACTCAACATCAAGCACCAAAACACCGAGACAGAAAAAAAAACTCAACACGATCAACAAGCAAGAAAAATAAAAAAAACAAAGCGCTGCAGACGCTGGAGATCTGAAATACAAGCAGGAAATGCTGGAGAAACTCAGTAGGTCTGACCACACTTATGGAAGAAGAAACAGAATAATGTTTCGAGTTTGATACGACTTCTTCAGAACTGCAAGAGAGGAAGAATTACTTTTCAACGAGAGAATCTTTCAATTAAAATACCTCCCAGCCACTGAATACATAATAATTAAAGGTCATTGGAAAAAGGTGTGATATAGTGTAGTTCTGACTATTCGGTGCAAACCGACCGAACTGAGAACGACACAAAACAGCCAAAATTATTGATTGCTGCAAAATGACATCTCAATATGAATTCTGGCACTTCAACAAACACTGAAGGGCATTTGAGATAGGAAACAAATGCAGGTCTTGCCAGCGACTCGCCACCCCATGAAACGAAGGAGAAGTGTATATCATCAACCCGCCAAGATCCAACTCTTCAACTCCCAACGTAAGCGCTTCTTAAATTTACCACACTTGCTTCTTAGTTTGCTTCGTTCTGACACATTTTGAGCATAAAAAGATACACTTCCTGAAACATTTTGCGACAATTTCTCTGAATGAAAGCTACTGTGAGCCGTCCATATTTCCATTATTTTATGGAACAAGTGCAAGAATATTTGCCTAGAATTACATGCAGGAGGAGCAGGTCCTTTGTAAAAGAAATACAAAATAATAGGACCAGATTTGGGGAGAGGGATGGTCTTTTCAGACAGTACATAATCAACACAATCTAATTTTCTCCTTTGTGGTTTTGAACAATTTTATTTTACAAAACGGAATTTGAATACAATTTTACGAACAATCCGTCAGTTGATTTAAAAAGATTGTATTAATTATTAATTCGCCTGTTTTGAGGGGATGAAGGGTTGCAGATTTACTGCAACTGGAGCGTTGGTGCCAAACATTGCAGTTAACTGCGAATATAACAGGAATCAGGTTCGCCCCGTTGGGATATAAGAGCGAAACAGCAAGTTTCCCTGCAGATACCACGGTTTGCCTCACAGACGTTTACACCACAGAAGAGGTCATTCGGCCTATCGTGACCATGCTGGTCAACAAAGATCCGAATACACTAATTCCATTTCCAGTTCCCTGGGACTGAAATGGGGAAAGAACTGTTTTAAAAACCAAGGCTTGTTGAAGGATTGCAACTCTTTTAAAAAATGAAATAACGTAGTATGAATATACTAACAGGAAATATGCGTAGGCCATTCGGCCCTTTCAGCTTGCTCTATCGTTCAATAAGTTCTGATTTGATTTTAACCTTAATTCTACATTCCTACTTATCCCCTATAATCTTTCATCCTTACCATTTATTGTAAATGCTGTTGTGGAGCTTTGGCCAGCAACAAGTAACTGATTGGTCTGTGGACTAGTGACCATTTGGCAATGCTAAAGTCTTCTGCCTGCCAACAACCACACAATGGTTTCACAGACAACTAAACAGCTAGCTGGTATCAATGTTTGGGAGAAACCATCGGACCTCTGAGAGGAAAGAAGCTGTTTTTGGTCTGCAGTAAAAAGCATCTCAAGCCTGAAGATAATCGACTTGTGTCCCCTTTCCATATGCTGTAAGCTATGACTTTTAACTGATAAGTAAAAGACCATTATACATGTAAACCAGTCATCCTGTGCCACCTACAAACAAGTTATTTGGAGAAGAAAAATCAAGAAATGGCATTCTATTATGCAAAAGGATCATCTCAGCAAATCCTGCAGGCAGAGACTACTGAACTGCCTTCCCAGAATTTCAATCCAGCTATAACACCCATGTTTTCTTTGTGTCTGTCTGTGTGTTTGTGTAGAGAGGGAAATTTATAAGAGGGATAGAGTTTGAACTAGGAGACTTATATGTTGATGATTCATAATTGTTAATGTGTAGTTATAATCTATTTATTTGTAGGGGGCAGCATGGTGGCTCAGTGGTTAGCACTGCTGCCTCAAAGTGCCAGGGACCCGGGTTCGATCCCAGC